AGAAGAAAAAATTTCAATCGAGCAATCGGTTCCAGAGGAAATTGATGTCAAACTTAGTGTAAATTTTGCTCGTTCCCCTAATTGTGCCAGTGTGTCTATCATAGAATAATTGTTGTTCTGAAAAATCGGGCAGCAGGTTCCAAATCAGGAGGGTGTTGCGAGTTGAAATCGCACCCACTGTATATACAGAAGTAGAAAAACATTGCCGGTATATAAAATTTACAATGCATTCGAAAAATATTTTGCACAACTAGTCGACCAGCACAAATATAAGTTCAACAGATATACGCGATTGATCAACTATTCAACTGCATGTACCACTGTTTCTCCTCTTGCAGATTATTTGCTGCCATCACAATTTCTTGCAGTGATGCCGTCTATGCGATTTTGTCTCTGAATCTAGTTTTTTCAAGATAGGTCATTGGATCAATGGATCGTCGTAATTCCAACTGTTGAGTCAGATAACGACACATGCTTACTCATCACATAACATTTTCATACTGAGTGAGCACTGAACAGTGAGCCTGCTGCTTGTTAAAAGCAGAGATGCCTTTTAGCTACGAAGTGGGGACAAATTAATATAGAGTAGTTCAGATATACACTTGATTATCCATCGCGTGTATCTGTTGAATTTTGAACTGGACAACTGGTTCGAGTACATCTAGTTCTAATGCATTGAAAATCCTATATGCCGGCATTTTTCTTCTACTTCTGTATACCAATCGTTGACCAACACATACTCCACTTTCATAAAATGTTGCGCATATAAATCAGTGCGCTCAAGATGGAATGAGAAAATAATATGAGTATACATTGTGTTATACATTCGCTACTATATAATCATAACATTGTGAGCAGTTAACATTTTTTGTTTCAAATGGGATAATAATGCTGAATGACGTTAAGTCGACTTCCATGAATACTTCTTTCTTATAAGTTCGATATATTTTTGCTCAAAATCAACATTATTTCTAGTATTATTCACTCTGAAATGATGAGTGGAACGATACCTATACAGTATACAGTATGGTTTCACTTTTATCACCCTACATATATTTCAAAATTTATTGAATAGTGGGTTCACTGTTTTCAACATTTGTTTCTTTCTTCCTGATAAACCAATACCTTGTCGTACTTACGTAAGTATATACATATACATATAAAATGTAAACAATAAACAGTTTTCATTCTGGATATACATTCCAGACTTGTATTTTTTTGCATCGAATATTTTGAAAATATCATCAAGATTTTTGTATGCACTATGGAAAAAATGGGCTATCGATTATTGATGTAGTCTCATGATTTTTTCAATAGGCAAGTTGCGCGGGACAGCTAACAACAATGTCTGTAACTAGTATAATATCTACAATCGAAAACTTCTATTTTTCTATTTTCAGCAGGTTTTTAGATAGGTATAGGTTACAGACAAAAGTTTATATAGTATATTACCCATAATTAGGTAGTTGCCTACTTATAGTACATTCATTTGAAACTATAATTCTGACAGCACTTAGTCCTTTTGATTTTAAACAGGGCAGTTGGACTTCTTTCGTAACTATTTGTATAGGTACAACAGTAATAGCATGAGGTTTGGTGTGATGATGTGTATTTACTTACTTGGAATGTGAAACTTTTGTTAGTAATTTCACAGGATCACAATACATCTAGCAATCAGTCTATAAGGAATTTTGAATCTATATAAAATTTGCACCTAACGTGCTCGCTTGAAATTGAAATCAGTGTAGCAATAGCACTCATGTAGAATTACTAAAACCCCGATCGTACCCGTCTCTAAATGTTTTCTACCTTTTTTTCATTTATCTTCTTCATTTCGTTCAATGCTGACAGTACATATTGTTTGCCGAATCTTTACATAAATATCGGGTATATTATTTGAGTATGTGGTCAAACTTCAAAGGGCGATTATTTGGGTGGTTCTAAGATGAAAAGTTCATATAAAGATATGTCCTGAAATGTTCGTTTTCAAGATACAGGGTGGAGAAGTTGAAAGTATCGATTGTTGATCTTCATGATTAGCCTGTATTGGCTAGTCTGGTTGGTGACTGGAAATTCTTATAATACCTACTCATTGATGTTATTGGGTCATACCATTTGCTCTCTTTTGAGGGCACCTACATTAAAATTTGGAATCAAATCAATTTTTTATTAATTCCTCTGGAACTAAGGGATATACAAAAATTCAATAGAGGAGAAGAAAATTATATTTTCAATTGTTTAATATGATGAAAATATCGAATTTGAAAAAACTATGACGTACCTTATTTAGCATAAATATCAAAAGGGTAACCCACTGCGACGCCACTAGATTCATTATTTGGAATCTAATTACACCAGAAACAGCTTCTTGATGTTAAAAAAATCACCAAGTTTGAATTAATAAAAAAAATGATTTTTTATTGAAACTTGATATCTTGAAAACGAAGCATTTTTGGACCTATGTTTTGATGAACTTAGGTCTTAGAATAACGAATTCCATTGGGAGGAACTGGTGGAGTGTTTCTCCACTGAGTGTATATTTACCTATGTTCAACACATGCGAGTGAGGAGGAAACATATACATTGAGTGCAGAAACACTCCACCAATTTCTGCCAATGGAATTGTTCTCCATGGCTGCGATGTTGCCGAATACATCCTTTTTTAATACCTCTATATATAATTATATATGTAAGGGTTCGATAAACAATCTGTATACAGGGTGTCCCTCGACAATTAAGATGGTGAGTATCACATCAATCAATATCAGCATATATATCTTCATCTACCACAAATGCTCAATAATCCAAAAATTACTAAATTCATGACAAGAACAATGATGTCTGTACAGGGTGGCCAACTAAGACTGCAGAGTTCGATTTCTCTGTTGTCTTAAGAGATACAAAAAAATGTCATGTATCAAAATTGAAGTAATAACCGAGCTGCACATTCCAAAATTATTTTGGAATATACAGGGTGTTCCATGAGGTAACAGCATATCAAATTTATGTTTGTTTCATATGAACAACCTATATTTTATTTCATTTTTGAATTCTCCCTGAAGATCTGATTTCAACGACCCATCATACTTAGGGTCCAGCAGTGAAAGTTACTGACATATAGGGTGTGCAAAATCGAGATTTTTCAAGTTCAGGATTTTTTTCTGTCGAAACTGTTCATTATTCGACGAAACGGTTTACATTTCCCTATCTCAACTTTTCACGCACTATCAATTGGTGTTCAATTGAAATTGATACAAGGTGGTCAAAAAATCTGAATTTATAATTTGTTTTAATCAAATGTCAATTGAACACCAATTGATAGTGAGTGAAAAGTTGAGATAGGGACATGTAAACCGTTTTGACGAATAATGAACAGTTTCGACAGAAAAATATCCTGAACTTGGAAAATCTCGATTTTGCACACCCTATATGTCAGTAACTTTCACTGCTAGACCCTAAGTATGATAAGTCGTTGAAATTAGATCTCCAGGAAGAATTCAGAAATGATATAAAATATAGGGTGTTCCAATGAAAAAAGCATAGCTTTGATGTGCTGTGTCCTTACGGAACACCCTGTGTATTTCAAAGAAATTTTGAAATGTGAAGCTCGGTTATTACTTCAATTTTGATCCATGAATTTTTTTTGTATCTCTCAAGACAACAGAGAAATCGAACTCTGGAGTCTTAGTTGGCCACCCTGTACATTTACTTATGTATACATATACAAGTCTTTGAAATACTATTTTCAATATTGAAGCCATTTAACTTCTAACCTCATATATTCCATTTTCTATTTTCATTGGCCAAGTCATTTGAATTCAAATACTGGTTATAATAGGTAGTAGGTAAAACGGGTGACCCGGAACTAATTTATCCCACTGTATCTTCGTTGCTATTCTGAATGGAGTTTTCAAATTTGGTACATCGATTTGATTACCTGAATGTATGATATTGATAGTATCAGACAAAATATGACACTCCCGGTTTGACCGGAAGTGTATCCAATGTTTTTATTTCGAATACAAAGTATATTAAAGTCATGGAAACCATCCATTCTCAAAGTGGTCCAATATTTTTCAAACGGAGAAAAAGAAACAAACTCAATGTCGATCGACCACAAAATTGAATATGGAACACTCGTGTATGTAATTAGTTTCGGCACCATGGCCCTCTTCAGACACAATAGTAAGGAAGAAGTACCTATAGAAATTACGAAGACCTCAAATCTATGACAACATGACAACTGAGAAAGTACATACCTTTTTCGAAGTAATAACTAAATGAAAATAATTTTTAAAACAGTTGGTATATTGAAAAATCAGTCCGGTTTGAGACTAAATGATTTTGAAACGACTGAAAAGCCATAAGAACTTAACTAGGAGTTAGCTCAACATCGGGAGTGAATTAAACGAGAATTAATAAAAATCTACTCAAAGAGCTTCATTTCCATTCAAGGCAAGCCATCAAGCATAATTATAAATGTTGATTTGACTTTGACATTTGACATATGACAGTGTTGACAATTTTGATGTCAGAATGGAAACCAATGAATAGCAAGAACGAGTTGAATCAAAGCAAACAGTATTGACGTTGTAAGTAGCTAAATTCCTTCTTGACAGTCTGATTGTGATATATCGTCGTGAAGGTAAATTTATACTGAGTCGTGATTTCTAGCAAATAATTATATTTTATATTTGAAATAAACAAAATTGTATGCACTTCTGGTCGAACCGGAAGTGCCATATTTGGTCTGATTCAAGCGAAATCAAACCCTCATGAAATACAACATAGCAAAGAAGATACGGTGGGTTGGGTGAATTGGTTCCGGATAGATCTATTTTTCACTCAAAAAATCCGTATCGACTTGACGAACTTGAGGATAATCCACAGAACTCATATTACTGTAAGTAAGTTCATAATGATGTAGCTGTTTCCCACCACCTTCCCCGAAATACTTCGGTAAGGGAGTAGGTAACAATGGAATAACCTTCTTGTCGTCTGGATTTCCTGGGACAAGTGTTAAATTGCAGTAACAAACAACATAACAGCTCAACAACACGACAAATTTACCAATCGATCTTGCATTCAGGGGGGTTCAGGTACCCGAATACGTTCAATTCGTACATGCTGGCGAAGGTGATGAAGACAAGGTACCAGATCATCAGAACCACCCCGTACCTCCGGTCCAGCTTCCAGCCGTTCAGGTGGGTGGCTACCACGAGGAACACCACGGTCGATAGCAGCGAGAGAGTGGAGTAGGTCAGACCTGTGCAAAAATAGTATATTACATAACTAGTGTGGAAAGTGACATATATCGCACAATGCCACCTCGTGTGGTATTCGGTAAGAACATTTTACACCAAATCGTGTTTGGAAATCAAATAATTTTAGATTTTATTTGTTCATTTGATTTGCATACAAGTTCATGAATAAATTTAGTTTGGGTCACAGTTTCGGCACCAACAATAGACTCCTGATTTCTACTTATTATAATATATGCATGTTCTTCCATTTTATATCCACTTCGGAATACTACAAATGATAAGAAATTATAATTTTGTCAATTAATGTTTCATCCACTTTCACTACTTTGGTGTTGAATAACAGGAACCGATCAAATTAGCACTAGGTACTCTAGTGTACTTCTTGACTGTATGTAAGAACGAATTACACCCTATATGTTGTTGAAAATATCAATGTTAATTCTCACTAAAACACTAAAGCAATCAGGATCTCAGGGGACACCTAAGATTGTTACTTGGTGTGAACTGTTGTTATTTTTTTACTGTGTATAGTAAAAAAAGGTCAATATTTCAAACATAGATTTCATTCATTATTCCAAATTTTTTGGGATTTTCTCTCCTCGTTTCTATAAAATAAAAATATGAATATTATTTCAATATACGTGTAGTAAGGACAAATCAGATGATTTGCCCCAAAATGTCACTGCGTTTAACGAATTTTCCTATCAGAGAGCCTAAAAGAAAAATTCACTAGCTTGTCAGTGACAATTTGTATTGAAAATTTTTTGGAGAAGAGAAATAAAGGTATATAGAAAAAATATCAAATTTTCACTTGACATTTTGGGGCAAATCATCTGATTTGTCCTTACTACACGTATATTGAAATAAATTTATATTTTTATTTTATAGAAACGAGGAGAGAAAATCCCAAAAAATTTGGAATAATGAATGTACCACCTCCTCGATTAACCTACAGACAGTATTTATAGATTTCATATTATAATATAATTCCGTTTTTCCACTAAATGACTGTTCCTTCTTTGAAGAACAAAATGGCTATGCTAGGCAAGTTTTGCCAAAATGGTAATTATTCCCTTTTACTCCTAAGCGATTCAATTTGAGTTTGAAATTTGGTGGAAGCGCTAAGAATGATTGATAATGGGAAATCATTATACCTTGCAAGATTTCTAATAGGAAAAATACTCGAAAAAACTGTGTTCGCAAATAGTTTGAATACATTCACGAGATATAACGTGTAGTACCGAATTAGCAAAAATGGATCTTTTTAAATTTGGTGGATGCTCTAGGCTAGGGTCTAGTAATTTTTGACGAAGTGGCATATAAGCATCATCATAAAATTACATTACAATATACCTAAATCACCAAATTTTCTTGAAAAATACTATAAATAGAAGGAAGCTTCTTGCAGAAGCTTTGTGTCGAAACTGAAAGCAATATCCCAAATCTCAGAATTTTCTAAAACCTACTCTCGAACTTGAAAAACGATATTGACCCTGTTTTGGTGGCCAATAACTTCACCTTCGCCATTTTCTAATCAGCGTAATTCATTTTACCTATTTTAGAATTGGATCACAAAATTTATGAAAATTATAGTACGTACTGTGAAATCCTACATCTTCTTCTGATAAATGTAACGTTGTATAATAATAATTACCTTTGCTAATTACTCTGACCGTTGATCCTGGTCGAATGATAGCAGTTTTAATAAACCAAGGAAGACCTAAACATATCAGTATATCGAAAACGTTGGAACCCACTGCGTTGGAAACCGCCATATCGCCATATCTACAAAAAAGAATATAATGATGAAAATGTTATTGAACCTTATATTCACGCAACAATATTTTATTTTCATTTGACCATAGCTCATATTTGTCGAAATAATTTCGATATTTCGAGCCTTACTCGAAGAGTTTATGAGGGTTTACAGAAACAAGCCGATTTGAATTTCGGCTTATAGCCAATGAAAAGCGTTCTCATGATCCTGAAGATTTCACAGGTTACATCTGAACTGCTTTGAAATCACAGTGAAGGCTGATGGAACTGACAACACACACATAGGTCCAAGCTCATTTATTTACGAGACCGAACTTGGTCCAATGGAGTGTGCCCATTCAGTACCTGTTATATATCTTAGGGTGACTGATCTCTGGTCACTCTTACGTGTTTCCGAACAGTGAGAGATATGACTTGATAGTCCAAGACCCGGCTGCAGATTTCGTTCGTCATCTGATAACGAATTGATATATGTTTCAAGGGCATGTTGAAACTTGAAAAATTGCACTTTTCTGTGCGGTAATTTGCACTCAATTTCGCGATATGACACGATATAGCGGTCTACACTCTAGATAGTAGTTGTGACAGTAGCCAAGACATGCCGACTCACAAGAAATAGGTCGTGAACCCTTATAGCTCAGAGCCAGCTTTCAGTCTACGTAGTCTACCTGAAAGTGCAGTCCGAAGCCAAGTGAATTTTTGTGTCGAACAGAAACCTAGACTATACTCAGAATCGATACCTGCACAGTTATAAATTCGGTTCACAATATCTTTTTGTAAAATAATCATTCGATAAAAATTCGAACATGGTGAATACATAAATATATTTGACAAAATAAAATGAAGCAGACAGTAAAATAAGATAATAACTATAGTAGTTGTACAAGAAAACTATAAAAATGAGATATGATGTCAACTTGAATTCGTCTTTAAATTTTCTTGATTTTTGTCAATGAGAGGCTTCATAATTGATAGTTTTGTTGAGCCCCATACAGAGATCAAATATTCAAGTTTAGAATATATCAAAGAGAAGTATATAGATTTGAGACATTTTATAGGAACTTGATTCCGTACCCTAAAAAGTATACCTATTATTGGAGATATTTTTTTTCTAAGTATTCCAATATGTTCTGACCATGACAAATTTCGATCTATGTACAGTCCAAGAAACTTGATATTATTTGATAGTTTTTTTTTTGTTGTTCTAAAATTGTTCTATCCGTCATTCGGTTGCCCCCTTACGAGCAACCCTCAGAAGTCTTCGAGAGTCTTGTGCGAGCAAGGAATGACGGGGGCCTTACCTTTTAACGTGTGATCCCAAACACTTTCTAGGGCCATCAGAAAAATTTCTGCAGTCGATGGGATCAGAACCCACGACCGGAAAGCGAATGCGGATTAGAATATATATAGACACTCTGTCCGCACGGCTACCTGGCCCCTTACTTGATGACTTCATTATTACATGCAATTGGAAATTTATACTCATTATATCTTGAGTTTTTTGAGATGAACATGTAAATGCTGATTTACTATAATTTATACTCAATTTATAACATGATAACCATGATAATAATATTTTCAAATCACTTGAAATTTCATCCCAAATTTGTTTGCTGAACTTGCTAATAATAATAGATTGAGGTTGTGTCATCGGCAAACATATAAATTTAACCTTTCAACTTCAAATTTGCAATAGTGTTGATATCAATAAGAAATAAAATAGGGCCCAATACTGATCCTTGCGGTACACCGCATACTATTTCATCGCTCTTACTGAATGATTCTCTTAAACATACGAATTGTTTCCTATCATGTAATATATATGTAAGTTTCATGATCGAATGAAATATTGACTAGTTTGTTGGATATTACCCCTCTCTGATGACTGCTATACTCGACAAAGCATCTGGCACAGAAACACCAGCAGCTACGAAAGTTAGCCCCATCACTGTATCAGGGATACCTAAGGTATATCCTGAAAATGAGATGTTATGAAGGCATTATCGAACCTATATATACATGGTGCCCGGAAAGGTCATGTTTTGATTGATAGGGCTGATAGAGTGAGCGAAAGCAATGGCCGTACTTTATACAGTCTGTCCAAGGTAAGGTTGCATAGCATGGGGACCTCGGAAACAGTAGGAGATACGAAGTCGGTTAAATGGGAAAAAAGTTGCGCATTTGGGGGCTCATACCAGCAGAAATTTTCTAAATTGTTTTTAGTTTTTCAGTTATATCGAAAAAAGTGAATTTTTGAAATATCAATTTTTTTTCTCCGTTATTGTTAGAGATACAGAGAAACTGAAAATACTTTTGCATAGCAACTTTCGATGAGGTTCAACGTGGTGTTACGGATTTTCCATGCGGCCTTTTTGTATTCGTAGAACGTAGAACCATCATCAACTTTTGTTTTTTAAATACGGTCCTCATGATTTTTCCACAGATTCTGTAAGCTTTTTTCTTCTGAATTCAATTATGTATTATACAAGGTGATTTGAATGTGTTCCGACCTATTTCTATCCATTATCAATGTTTTTTCGAAATTCCAAAGGAAAAATGCCATCAGATCCACTTATTTCTGATCATTTAGTGTGAAACATTGATGGATTAGTTATTCCATACTCAAAAGTGAATAAAAAATATTTCACTAAATTATTCCATGCAGAGCTTCAATTTTTTAATGAATTCTTACACGAATTACTTTATAACTCACCTTTCACAATACCGACAGAAACATTCATACCAAAAGTTCAAAATGATGACCATTATTTTCTTAACAAAGATATCCTCTTCTCACAGTTGCCCTAGGACATTACTATAAGCATTTCTGGGGTTATACTATTGAATGCTTCGATGATACTGTCCCTCATTTCTTCTTCATTATCAAAGTTATTTGCATAAACAAAGTTATTGAGATATCCCCAGAGAAAAAAATTCAGCGGTGTCAAATCTGGCGACCGCGCCGACCAAGGGACTGTAGATTGAGTACCATTCCATGTTTGGAGCGTCATCTTAATGAAACCAACAGTTATCAACTTCCGCAATCGGTAAATTTTTTTTTTCAAGATGATTCTCAAGCAAATTTCTATAACGTTCGGAGGTCAATGTTTCATGGTAATTAAAAGGACCAATATTTCGTGAACCAAATATTGCAATCCACATATTAAAGCCAAATCGGTGTTGGTGTCTCACTGTTTTGTATAAATGTTCATTTCCTCGTAAGCAATAATGTGTATTTTTTCTTTTGAAGACACCATTATTAGTGACCATGCTTTCATCAGTCCAGGTGATTTTTCGAGAGGAATCTTAAAAATTTTGACATTTCCTGGTATACCACTAACAGAATGTCCTGCGCCTTTCGTCATCGCCTGGTCTCAGCGCTTGATATATTCTGAAATTGTATGGATGGAATTTTTGTTTCCGCGAAATGAAATGGGTTGTTGATTGGAACCAGTTGATGAGGTATTAGTATGTGTTGACTAATTTTCCTTCAGAATAAGTGGAACTGATGCCATTTTTCCTTTGGAATTTCGAAAAAAACATTGATGATGGCTAAAAAATAGACCGAAACACATACAAACCACCTTGTATAATACATGGTTGAATTCATAATAAAAAAGCTTTCAGAATCTGTGACAAAATCATTAGGACCGTATTAAAAAAACAAAAGTTGATGATGGTTCTACGAATACGAAACGTTGCATAATAAAAACGGTATCTTCTCTCTTCTCGTTGAACGTCATCAAGAGCTACTATGAAAAAGTTTTTTCAGTTCTTCTGTATCTCTGATAATAACAGAGAAAAAAAATAAAATAGATATTCCAAAAAGTAACTTTTTCGATATAACTGAAAAACTAGAAGCAATTTTGGAAATTTCCGAAGGCCGCTGGTATAAGTCTCCGAATGCGCAACTTTTTCCCTATTCAACCGACTTCGTATCTCCTACCGTTTCCGAGATTCCCATGCTGTGCAACCTTATCTTGGACAGACTATAAATAAATGGCTATCTCCCTTCGTTACGGAGTTATTGACCTTGAAAGTTTGAATAAAATGAATATTCCATCAATAACTTTCAAGCTGTTGCCACCGCATTAATGATATTCGGGAAACTGAATTGACTCATATTAATGCTATACTTTCGAAAATTGTATGTAATCGGCTGTTCAGTGATCATGTTTCAAATACATGACGGGACGGATTTTTTTGTTTAATGGAGACATTTTTGACAGAGGTGACAAATTTGACACTTTGCTTCTACAGTTTGATTCCTTCATCTTTTTTATACAAAAATAGTCCATCTATAGTTAATCGATAACTTGTACCATTCTAGAGAAAATCGCATTTTAAGAACATACATTCAACCGTTTCAAAGGTCATAAAAACTCTATTCCAAAACATCATGGTATTTGCAGTCATTGTCATAATTGACATCGAATTATTTTCACAGTATTCAATACTTTGGTAACACCATGAATGAGTTCAGTAATGATGTCTAGTAGCATTTTTTTATATGAAGTAACAACATTATTTTGTCCCTTTCTATAGGACTTATCATTTAAGGCATGACCTTTCCGTACACCCTGTATCATCACATTTTCAAATTAAGTTATATTGGCACGATGAAAATTGGGATATAAACGATATTGGTACCTTATTACCCAAATTTATTGGTACAATATTAGATAGCTGTTTTACTAAAATATTGATTAGTGAAAATGTTTCCAACCAATATCGGCTAAATATTCTAGAGACAATAATACAATATTGGCTTAAAAACGCGAACATTGATATTGGTACAATATAGCTCAAATATATTCATGAATTATTTTTTCGTCGTTATTTTTCCGTCATAATATAGTGGAATAATTTGGAAGCAATGTTGGTCGGCATGTAGTTCGAATTCCAATTCTGTTGTCCATCTTCCAGTTCCCAGTCCATATAGTACCAAATTCAATAAATATATTTGATGATTACTTTCTGCATATTATTCAGAATCGATATGAGAGAAATATTCAAATTGCGAAATTGATTAAAAATATTGAAAACAGTAATATTCATACAATGTTGTTCCACCGATATTGCATGGTTAGACATTATTAAACAACATTAATGAACACATATTTCAATCGAATTCCCAACCAACAGGTTAGGCCAATACCTAATCAATGTTTCATCATCACAATATTGTTTTCATATCCACTATCGACTTATGATAAAATTGAATATTTCCATTTGCTATTAGGCAATCCAATAACCTGTCAAACTATGGGCTGGTTGGCACACAATGAAATTATTTATGTGTGATGAATCATTTTTATACGCGAACTCCTGTTGGTATCAGAAGTCATATACTCAAAGAAAATGACAAACAATCAGTATTTATTTATTCTAGTAAATAATTCTATTGATTTTATATTTGATGCCAACCAGGCGCCATTTCGATTATAACCTCAGTTGAATTGCCTCATATGTCTATATTGGCCCAATATTAAATTAGAATCGAGCAATTAATAATATCATGTGCCACATGGGATTCATTCATACACACGGTTTCTGTAGTGGTATCAAAATTCACCTTAATATACTTATCAGTATCAGTGATTTCAATGTTTATATCAGATAGAGCAAAATATTTATATAGGAGGTTTTAAGGAGCTATCAAAAACTAACTGTGCGTGCAAACTTGCAGATGTGAGATTTATTCCATTGAAATCAGTAGACATTTGCATTCTTCCCATCGAGTTCTAGAGTTTCCTTCGGAAAGCATGCTACACCCTTCAAAATTTACCTAACTGAAAGACTTGTTTTTTTAAACGTGATAAAATAAACCTCATCTCTGTAAGTTGTACTGTTTTGGTTATAAGTCCATCAAATCCGATACGTATCTTTTACCCAAGAAGGTTCTTCTTACCAATAATAGTTATCATCCAAACCATGAAGTATGAGTAGAAGGAGATCCAAACCATCGAGATGAAGAAGGTGAATGGGTACCAGTTCCTGTATTTCTCACTTCTACAGTCTGGCATTGTTTTTCTGCATAGCCAGTGTATTGGAAATACCAAAATCCATACTCCTATGACATACATTCCACCCTCTACAACAAATACCTCAATTGATTTCCCAATCCTCCCAGAATTTTATGGATTTAGACTAGTAATAATTGTTTCGAAATATACCTATGGCATAATTATGCAAAAACATATAGAATATCGTGGGGGAATAGAAAAGTATAGACAAAGTCCTCATCTGCTCCGATATGCAAGCAATATGTATCCAATCTCTTTCATGCTCTGAAATCAGATCAGGACTGGTCCAAGATTCCATAAGCGACTCAAAACCTTGCCGATCCCCAAAAAGATTCAGATTCAAGACCAAGAGGACATTTTAGGTGACGTAGCAGCAAACGCACTGACAAAGGAGCAGGGCTAAGGAGCGACGCTCATGGGACCAGAGCCTGTGTTCGGAATACCAGTTGGCAACTTATTGTAACAGGAACAACATCTTGCACATTGAAGCAGTTTTTCAAGGCGATCCTAAATAGGACTGCACTGAATTATAACTAGTCATCGTCCCACCCATATCAGATTCGCATATTTAACAGCATTAAACAGGGTGATCCACGGTGGATGGCCTATTGGAATTATCTGGAGAACGAGAAGACAAAACATTCTGAGAATCGAGATCCTTTTATAATTGAATATTCTCTATCCGTCTAAAATATTTTCATCGATACAGTGTTGCCACTTCTATTAGAAACAACTAACAACTTCGTTATTTCAAATAGAGCACCATGTATTTCATGGAATTTTTAGATTCTTCCTGAAGAGCCTATTTCATCGATGTACAACACTTGGGGTCTAGCAGGAATGGTTTCAGAGAAATAGGGTGTCTCAGTATTTTCTGTGTCGAAACTATTCATTATCGATCAAAACGGCACACATTTCCCTATCTCAACTTTGGATTCGCTATCTACTGACATTGAATTGAAACAGATATACAGGGTGATCAGATTTTTGAATCTTGAAGTACCCTGTATTTTTCCAATTTATTTCCAGTAGATAGTGAATCAAAAGTTAGGATAGGGACATGTTAGCCGTTTTGATCGATAATGAATGGTTGCGAAAAAAAAATCCTAAAATTGAAAAATCTCGGTTCTGAACACCATAAATCTCTGTAAACATTCCTGCTAGACCAAAAGTAAGATACATTGATGACATCAGCTCTTCAGAAAGAATCTAAAAATGCAGGGTCTTCCTTTTGAAATAACAAAGTTGCTAGTTGTTTCTGATAGAAGTGGCAACACTGTATCGATGAGATTATTTTAGACAGATAGAGAATATTCAATTATCGAAGCAACCCAATTTTCAGAATGTTCTGTTTTTTCGTTCTCCAGATAGGCCATCCACCGTGGATCACTCTGTATATTACATTAGATAGAGAAGCACTGACAATCAACCTGGAGATACAATATTCTTGAAGCAGATGCATAACTCACATGAAAGCTTCTTTAGAGGAAAATGTTGTGAGAGGCTGTTGAACCTAATCAGTCTAAAAAACCTATTCATCTTAATCAAGAGTATGAGTAGGAACACAATGAGTCCATCAGTGGCTGCAGTGTTAACAAAATTCAACATATGCAAATCTATCGAAATGGTATAGAGACAAAAAATATGTATGAATGTTTATGGAAAAACAGTTATCTAAGGAATTCATTATTGTATTTTTTACTGAATAAATATATTTGAAAATTTATATATGGTTACTGTTTATTTTATATGACACTTGTCGACAACTATACTAACACGTCAATGAAGATAACGATTCGGATTTCAATTCATTACTTCTATCACAAAGAGAACTGAGCAGACATCGTATACCCGGATAGCACAGAACCATCCCGAGAACGTCCTCAAGCCGTACACCTCGGACATTGGAAACGTCCCCAGAACGTCCATTTTAGGTACTGCGTACGTTTTCAGGACGTTTTGGGGACATACGATGTTACACAACCAGAGGTCCCCAGGACGTACGATAAAGGTCCTGTTCAGGTCTGAACGGGACCATCAATACCTGAATCAACGTAGATCCACCTTTTCTTTACTCAGATAGTTAAAATAGAGACCTAGATATAGTAAAAAAAATATTATTTTGACCATAAAAATTTTAAAAAATGTACTCCTTGATCCCACGACCTTCAGATTACCGTGCAGATGCTCTACCTATTACTCTACAGAAGACTTGAGTAGATGTTAGTATACAACAAGACATTATGTGCAAATATTGATTGATCCTTATTCACATCGATACTTGCATAGAATTAGATGATCATGGCAGAGAATACCTAAATAGATGTTTTGTGATCAGGTACGGCCAGTAAAAAAGAATTGTGAGAAATGTATTATGTTCATGTTTGCAAGGTTCCTAAATGAATAGATATCAGAGATCGAGGGTAGAATAAATTATGTGCAATGATTTCAATTATCATTATATATATTCAATCTCGTCCCTTGAAAGGCGATAAAGTCCAAAGTTGGACGTACTTGGTACATAGTAATCGTACGTACCCAGTGCGTCCAGAAACGGGCGTTTTCAGTACGTCTTGAAAAGGTCCCGGACGTTCAGACCTAAATCGGGCCTAAGCTGGACGTCCTGAGGACGTCGAGTGCTATATGGGTATATACTCGTATATCAAAGGTGGTTTCGCCCAAAGGTTGATTTTGGGACTTCTAATGAACATCATTTAGTAGATAGGTACCAACTACACAAATGAGTACATGCGTCCAGTTTTGAACAAATGAGTTTCTCATATTGTCACCAACATAACTCAATAGATTGAAAATATACTAATCTCCTAATCCACTGGACTGAAATCATGAAAAATGATTGTGCAAAAGCAATTTGATAGCAGGTAGTTAGTCCTTTTCAGGAATCGGAAATATTGAACCTGTTATCAATAATTGGAGGGACAGCGAGAAAAAAATTTTGGAAGGTATCAATGCTACCAAGACTTGAAAGCTTAGCCTAGTCTTCTCCATTGACATCGCGTCCTAGCTGCCTTTTTGGGTTCCGGAGAACCTCTGGAACATTTCACCTAACTAGACATTTGTGAGTATAGCTTCGGTAGAAGCAATTATTACACTTCTGTAAAGATTCTGTACAGATTCTGTGGAGAAGTGTATTAATTGCTTCCACCTTAGATATATGTTGTATTGGATGTGATTTGTGGACCTGCAGGCCGCTCTGACACGTTGTGAGATATTTTCTCATTGCATGTTTAGTGTATTCACCCTTTTTTGAATTAGGACGATAGGGAGTGGTGCAACGTCAACGTGGTACCCTCAGTTGGATTGACGAAAATAAATTATACTGATAGCGACTGATGAAGCCTCGTGAGCCGAAAGAGTATTGTATCGCTCTTGCTGACAATTGGGACAGCTGCTGTGCGGACAAAAATAATTGCGACACATATTAAGTAAGCCATATATTATGCATTATCAATCCAAGATTAATAACAAGAGACATGATTGATAGACTCACTTAAATAACCTGGAAAAATATGGTATCGATAAGCCATCAAAAAGTTGATGATCATAGGCAATCAATAATTACATCAATAGTGCGACAGTTAAGCTAGAATATTCAATTGTATTCTGCAGTTTTTGAAAAAGGGAATATGAACAAATTTGGATGTGGAGCCATCGGCCAATTGCCCCTTGGAGACCGTGGTGGCCATTATTCAAAATGGCCGCCAATGGACACCCCGAAAGACATCAGAAATCTGATGAAGTTTGCTGGTGAAGGTTTGCCTTCTTATAAGTTATATACTGAAGTGTGGAGAAGCTCTATAGCTTCATCGCATATCGAAGAGAGAGAGATAGAGAAAATCTGTTTGGACATATAGTACAATATTGTTAGGTCCATGCAGTACGATTATTTTTATCTATACAGGATGTTTTTCAACGCGGGGATACAAAATTGATGATTGTTTCAAATGAAACAGCTTGTATTTTTTCACATATTTTGATTCATCGTTATCTTGCCTATATACAACTACGTCTTATTTTTGCAATTCGTTTGCGGCGTTGCTAAAATAATTAGAATTATTTCGATAAAAGTAATTATAATTACCCAGATGTTGATTCCCAAACATGCCTGTTGATCTCCATTTTTGAAATTTCCATTAAAAACTATGCATGACCTGCTATGATACTTCGACTATATACTATAGGAATAATCTGCATATTACAAGAACAAATAATTCTAATACCATGAAGTCATTATTTTTCAAAGGTTTCAATGAATACAACAAATTGCCTACGTCACTGAAAAATAGTGAGTCACTGAATATTTTCAAAAGGGATTTTAACCAACTTATAAAAAAGAAATAATTGATCTCTCAATATTTTCCCTGGTGCCCAGTCAATTTATGCCATAAAGTATTATCTTTACAATGGATTGTACTATATATAGGTACCCATATTTTTAAAAAAATTTGATTTTCAACTATTTTTACCTTTTAATATTTGTGATTTTTATATTTTTATATATTATGTATGTTTTTTAATTGTTGTGAACTGGTATGTAATTTTTTTTGGATAATTTTTGTTGTTGTATATTAGGACATCCTATTTCAAATAAACTACTTCTTCTTCTTCTTCTACTTCTTCTATCGCTTCAATGAAGTCATAATTGAGAGTTACCTTACAGGGTGTGGTTTATAATTAACTGTCAGAGTTGACTTATTCGAACGATCAGCTCTTGCAAATCTAAGGACTGTATTGAGAAGTGCATGTGCAAGATATGGCTGGTCTGGAATGCACACAACTGTGCTCTGATAAATGAAGTCGCATTTCTTAAACGTTTGTTCTGAACTGAAAGTATACTGGAACTGTTCAACAGATTTTCCATATTCTGTAAACCAATAAAAAAATCATCACTCTTGTAGCCCCGCGTTTGAAATACATCCTGTAGAGATGAAAATAATTTCGCATTATATTGACCTAACGTTATAGTACTTTATCCTCAAAAAGATTTCCTCTATCTCTTATTGCTATAAATTGATATTCAATTATCATACACAAACCTTCAGCAGCAAACTTTATCCAACTTCTGATGTCATTTGGTTGTCCACTGTCGGCTATTTTGCCACCACGACCGCCAGGGGGCAGTTGGCCGATGGCTCAAAATTTGTTCATATTATATCGGTGTACCTCTCTGCCAAATTTGGTGCCTTTATTTATCAAAAAGTGCAAAATAGGAAGAGAAGCTAATCTGCTGTACTATAATGAAAATAAATTGGATTTGTGATTCGTTTCATTAAATAAGATGAATGGATCAGCAATAAGAATTTACCTGGTTTGATGAGTGGATTTATGTGCGCAGCAGGATCATACTCTTTAGGTTTGTAATAGTCCTGCTGGATAGGCCTAGCGGGAAGAGTAGGGACAGGAGATGCATCCGTCGTAGCCTTATTCAAAGCTGGACCGCTGAGCTGGTTAGTCAATAATCCTACAACGAGCGGAATACTCTACTTTCTACTGTGACGGGAAAAAAGTTTGATATGTCATCTCTGTTGACAGGTTGTAGAATGTCACAAAGGAATGTCACTTTTCATGAATTACTGTTTTACCACGGGAAAAAAGCGAGTACTTTCTTCGCAGATATACAGGGTGTTGTGAAATTCGACCGACAACGCTTGATAGGTGATAGCTCTCGTGATTCAATGAAGAATGAGTCAGGAACATGAGGCCGTAATGTGCTGTGTTCTTGAGTTACAGGGTGTCAAAGTTGAAGAATAAAAATCGGTTTCTAGCAATAGCTCGAGAACGGCTGACTTTTTCTTATTCAAATTCGAAACATGAATTATACTCCAGAATCCTCAATTCCTGATAGAGAGTTTATCTGAGACCATTATCCCATTGGTTAGGGGGTATAATTGGATTATTCTGCAAAAATACATGGGTGGCGATGGAGATTTCTTGAATTTCGTGCTCGAATATTAAGGAAGAAATAAGAAAACTAGACGCAGCTTTCCATCCAACCACATTATCTAATGATTCTGAAACATGATCATATTTTGGATAACCTGTCAAAGCAGAAAGTTTGTAACAGTTTGAATGAGGGCTAACATTTCCACTCTGACGAGTTGGCGCTTCTAAATTATGAGGTCAATGTCAATGTCAAAAATCCCAAAATTTTGCCGGATAGTCCTAGAAGCTATGTCTTGTTTTATCGAAAATAATCGAAAAAAAATGACGTAGAATTTTTGAACAAAATATAGAACCTCAAATTATCGAAAGACGTGAGCTATCTTACGTTTTTTACTCTCAATTTGGAACTTTACGGCCAATGATTGACGGAGAACAAAATGGTCAAATGACACGGAAATAAGAAGTGAAAAAATAGAAATTGAAAAAAATTGCTGAAATCGCTAGCTTCTCTTTCTCACAATAAATCCCAGCATATCCATAATTCCTTCACCTCTCGCGGTCGCTATAGATTCCTAAAGTTGTCGTTGTTTCATCTTTTTTATATTTTCATCTTTTAATCTTTATTCTTGAATCTTGATAAACTGACCAATTTCACGATCTGTTCGCTTATATCAAATACATCCATAGACCACTCAAAAATAACGTATAATGCTACGATAGATACAAGCATCTCGATTGCTTAGGTAGATTACTCGTTTCGAGTATGAAATAACAAAAATTTCCATCGCCGCACCCATGTATTTATGCAGAATAATTTAATTATACCCGCTAACAACGCCAACGGAGAAATGGTCTGAAATAACTTTCCGTCAGGAATTGTGGATTCTGAAGTGTTATTCATGAATCGAATTTGAATGAGAGAATGTTAGCCGTTATCGAATTATTGCGAAAAAACGGTTTTCATTTTTCAACTCTAACACCCTGTATCTCGAATACTAAGCATATTACGGCATAATATATGTTTCTGACTGATTCTTCATCAAATCCTCCCTTTTGATGGAAATGTTAATTAATTCTAGCGATTTACAAAAAAATATTTTATTTCTCGAATTGCAAATGCGTAAAAATCACAAGAGACAAGAAAGTTCACAAACGAAACAAAGAACTCATTCTACCAGTGACGCTCCACAAAAAATCTACAATATTGAAGCGAAAAAATTTTAAAAAGTCCAATTGTTCAAAAATTACCCAGAGAGAGGAGGTGACTTTATGAACACAGGTACCCCGCACAATTTTCCACTGTTGAAAAGTTGATTTCCAACTTCAAAGAGTGCAGGTTATATGTAGGTATATTATCAACTTTTATATTGAAGCCTATAATGTACAGCAATGTAGCAAAAGAAGCTGGTATACAAATAATGATATGGATCTTCTGGTGGTGTTTAATCATGTGTTATTATCTACTGAATGAATGAAAGCTTCAAACAGATAAATGGATTGAATACCTTCTTGTTGATGTTTTTCTGGAGACCACTCCATTCCAAAATTTTTCATACCTGAAACATGATACAAACGAATTTTCACTAGACAACGAGGTCAATAACTATTGAAAATCTTGCCGCATAGACTGGGCACACCGAAAAAACTATAGAAAGTCGAGAGCCGTTTTTATAACTGGAAAGCCATGTGTATTCACATTATTTTTTAAGTATTTCAGTGACCCTCCATCCACCCGCCCCCCTCCCCTCCCCACAATATTATCGACAATGTTTCACTTGAAAGTAATGATTTTTCGCCAGAAGAATGTCAGCTACTCACCGGTGATATGTTGATGTAGTTTAGTTGAAAATATCTGACACACACAGCTGACGAAAAGTGTTTGCCGATGTGTAAGTACTTGCCTCTTCGAAAATAGTCGATTTTTCATTTGGAAATTATTATATGTTAAATACATTTTTTTGTAGAGGTCGACGAAAAACAATATTATCGGTACAAATTTAAATTTCCTTCATGCACGTAATTGATTAAAACGAAACCTAAAATGTAATGAAATGGAGAAACAAAAACATGAGGACATAAAATAAAGAATATATAATAAAAGTGCCATGTTTTCTGCTGCTATCAGACACAAAATTTTCAAAAATGAGTTATAAGAATATGGAATGAACTCACTAATAAGCTTACGCTATTTTCATCTCGCATAGGTGTCTCTTAATGAACAATTCAAAGATAGGGATCTGCATACAAATATTATTCGACTCAATAAGACTCTCAAGTGATTGAGACATACCTAGTCAATAATATTGAAGGGATGAATAGAGGTCACTGAAATGCTCGAAAAAGTGTGAAAATATACCAAGCATTCGATTCGAGAAGATTCCTAGTATAGTTTTTTTTTTGGTGTGATTATTAAATAATCAATTTGAAGAAGGGGAACTTTGAATCTTGGAAAAACACTTCATTTTGTTTATGGCTTGAGGAAACATGATTCGATATCAAATAAATATAATAAAAACTCATGGTATTCTAGATAAGTGTACAATTAATTCAATTCCATACAATAAACAGTAAATCTATGAATATTAAAAGGTCAATCTTACCATCATCTGGAGGCTTCTCTGGTGTCCATTCCATCCCGTAGTTTTGGTGTTTCCCATCCTCTTCCAGAGTCTTGTAGCTCACTAAGCCAGATTGTTCTGATGGTACGACTTTTTTGAATGGAACTGGCCACGTTTGCGCCCATTTCTCCAAAGGAGTGTTGAAATGCAACACGATGCAGTAGAGGAAATAAGTGATCAGCATTATCAGTGACTCGACCCTTTCAAAGAGAAAGACTATCAACTAGGTAAGAGTCAGTCATAATTTTTGTCGGTTATTCAACCGAAAAGATACATATAATGATGAAGATGGAAAGCCATAATTTCGAGTGACAATAGAAAAAGAGGAAACTCCACCGCCCCGCGTGAGAGTCGAACTCACAACCTCTGGCTTACATGCCCAACGCTCTGCCAATTGAGCTAACGGGACATCCATCGATCAATCGGTAGGAAGGTCGAGTTCTCATCACACACCAGGCGGAAGAATCCTTCCAATTCTCGAAATCATGCACTAACGAAGGATTGCTGGCAGGATGGGGAACCAACAACCTAGTTGAATTCAACGCCACCAAAACTCAAGCCTGTATCCTCTCTAGAAAGGCGGAACTCAGTATGCCCAATATTGTGATGGCTGGCTCCACCATCCCCACCAAGCCCACCATATCTATGCTCGGTATTTCCATCAGCAACACTCTTTCATGGGATAATCATGTCAGATCCATCGCAAAAGCTGCTTCACAAAAACTCGGATTCTTGTTCCGTGCGAAAAGCTTCTTTACACCTCAACAGCTCCTCATGATCTACAAAGCGCAGATACGGCCTGTTCTAGAATACTGTTTCCACATATGGGGTTCACCACCAAAACATACGCTGATGCTTTTAGATTCCATCCAGAGAAGAGCCATTCGCCTGGTGGGTGACACCACACTTACTCACTCTTTGATATCATTGAAACACCGTAGAAAGGTCGGCGACCTTTCACTTTTCTATCGATACTTCCACGGAAATGTTCTTCGGAAATCTCTGCTATCATCCCTTCCCTAGCAATACCAATCAGACGAACTAGACAAGCCCAGTCAGCACATCATTTCGTTGTCAACCTCGAAAGATGTCGAACAGCACTTTATCAAGACTCCTTCATCCATAGAACGGCTAGGCTCTGGAATTCATTGCCTGTGGAAGTATTCCCAACAACATATGATCTCCAAAAGTTCAAAAAAAAATCCAATACCTACCTCCTGTCCCTATCCTCCCTAGGAACGCACGATGTTCTTTGAACATTATAGGAATTCCCTTTCGTGCGCTCCAAGCGATAAAACAAAATCCACAGTCTCCATATTTTCCCGTTCGTCCTCTGGCATTGTATTTCCTTGTATACGGAAATGTCGAATGCAATCATACATAGGAGTCAGTCGTAATTTTTGTCCTTTCCATCTTCATCATTATATGTATCTTTTCTGTTGAGTAACCGACAAAAATTAGGACTTGACTCCTATGTATGATTGCCTTCGGACATTTCCGTATACAATGAAAGACAATGCCAGAGGACGAACAGGGAAATATGGAGACTGTATAGTACCATCCTGCCAGCGTGCTTCGTATAGTGCATGATTTCGAGTGACTTCGGGAATTGGAAGGAATCTGCCTCCTGGTGTGTGATATGAGAACTCGACCTCCCTGCCGATTGATCGACGGATGTCCCGTTAGCTCAATTGGCAGAGCGTTGGGCATGTAACCCAGAGGTTGTCGAGTTCGACTCTCACACGGGACATTGGAGATTTTTCATTTTCCATTGTCACTCTAAATTAGGGCTTTCCATCTTCTTCATTATATTAACTAGGTACCAACGCAATTGTGAAAGTTTCGATTATTACATTTTCCGAATGTCAATTTTGTTGGATAAACTGATCAGTTTTAGACATATTTGACCCAAAATAAAATTTTAGATAGCAATTTTTCATCATTTGCAAACAAAATTTAAACAATGAATTCGAGGAATTGAAAATAATATAAATCCTATCAGTGGCTTAGAAAACATGGGAGGAAAAGTTATCGCAACCCCCTGTTACGTTGAAGGTAGATCATCCCTAATAACACAGGCCATCCAATGGATATCCATTTCAGGTCCAAAAAAGGTTCGGATGTCCATGGACAAGAAATGTACATGCATTGGATGAACCAAACTGTCTATCCAATGGAATACCACCGACAGACACTATTCCAATGGATATTCAAAAAATTTCCGAATATTCATAGGAGACTTGAAGAATGTAAATGCCATCGTTATCTTTGTTTCGTGTTTTCTATTGTCTGTTCGTCTGTGTTCCGTCGCTTGATTTGTTCGTGTTTGCTGTTATCATAGATCTGTTATTGTATGTAGAAGTTTGTATCGTTTAAGGCAGATTCATGCAGCAATATAACCATAAATAGTTACATTTTCATTATGTTATTACATTTTTTAACGTAGGCACCCGTTCTTGCAGCTACCAATTAGATGTTATGTGTAATGATTGGATACTTTTTAGATTTGTTGACTTATTATTTTAGGATAAGTGTGTGCGTGTTCTCTCATCTATTATTTTTTAGAGAAATCATCCATCCATATATATGGAATGTCTAATCGAATGAAGTGAAATTCGAATCAAATCAAATCAAAATATACTTTATTATATCGGAAGAATGAAATTCTCATCGACTAAGTGAAGAGATATATAAATTTACATCATGTAAAATCACATATACATTAAGGTCACAGTAAAATATGATTCAATTGTATATACAGGGTGTCTCAAGTTATCGTATATCGTTATCTCGCTTATTTGACAAGGTAATTGAAAAATTCAGAAATTTTTATTGATATATTATTGATCCCACAAGATTTTTTGTTTTTCATATATTTTATAGTTTTCGTTACTTCACGCAAGTTAGTCTCAGAAAGTACAAACGTATCTTTGATATCAATATTGTTCACGAATATAAGTGGATCAGATAGATCCATTTGAAGGAGTTGTAGTATTCATGGAAAAAAATTCGTTGGTATATTTTCTAATTTGGTGCAGTGATCTCAGAATCTCTGATTATCAGATGAAGTAGGAATACCTTTCGTTAGCGACATTTTTTTATAATTTTTTTTTATTTCAATTTCTTGTATCGAAAAGGCCTGATGAGTAAGATATAGTAACATTGAAAGGGGTCGTCAGTTCTAAGACAAGCATTCCAATCTTTTCTTAGACAAATTCCGTAAAATTTATCAAAGTTGGATTTTCAAAATAGCCTACTCCATATGTAGGTATTTCTATTATTAGGGTGTGATAAGAGCTTTATGATGCATTAGACTGCTTCATGATATAAAATACTGGCTAGTAAATTAGTACTGGTAAATTGTGATTAAAACATGTAGTGAATATACTATAGGTAAATGTATCATAACAGGGCTGAAACAGCTTCACTTTAGACTATTGGAACAGAATTATAGAAGAGAAAATATATTCAAAATATATAGGAGGCGAGATTTATTTATGTTGTCCAAAACTTATACATAAAATGTACAATTTATTTACAGGGTTTGAACAATAGGTGTACTTTAGCTGTCCAATTCATTTCCGATAGTTGAAAAATTCATGTCAGATAGTTGTGAAATTCATGTCCAATAGCCTAACATTCAATGGACATCCAAACTTGTGGCCTGTGGATTTACAATGGATGTATCATTGGATGGAAATTGGACATTCGAGCCATTCGATGTATATCCAGGATGTCCATGGCTATTCAATGGACATCCATTGGATAGCCTCGTGTTATTAGGGATACTATACTTATTCGTAAACAACTCTTCTGGAATGATTGATTAGTCAAATGAATGAATGATCATAAGGTAAAATCAGATTACTAACCACGAGATGGTTTTGTTGTATATGACGCCCAGCATCACCAGTATGGAAATGGCGTAGAAAAAACAATCCCTAACCAACGGCCACCAATTGAGGTAGACAGCTGTCGTGGTACACAGACCACAACAAGCGATGACAAACATTATGTTGAACACAGCAGAACCGATTACTCCTGATATACCTGTAAACAGAGATAGGAAATAGTATATTGTTTAACAAGCACGGAATGATAGTCATTCGAGTGGAAAACGGCATTGCATGCGAGTTATACTACTCTTTCTACGGCTGTAACAGATAATGGCATTATTTTTATTTCTCCGGCTTGTAGCCATCTGATTTTTTTTAAGTAATGCTCATTTATTAGACAGAGCTGTTATTTCTTACAATTCGACATTTTATGGAAGATGGATTTTTGTGAAATAATAACAAGTCATTGTAATATCAGATACGGAAATAAAATACATACAAAGTACCTCATTGATTTATCGAACAAAGTAAAACGAGCGTAATTTTGTGTTTCAGCCATAGAAAAGAATTTAATTGACCTATACACTCACCGGCAAGAAAAACTGACCAGCAAAATCATTAACCAAATTGATCGATTTTTTAAATCTTGTCCGATTTTGGTAAAATTCCGACCAAATTGTAGTTTTATGTGTCTATAAATGCTCATGTTCAGCAAATAGATTTTACTTCACCCTATACTATTAATGAAACAGCTACTAGAAATGTAGAGCATTCATTGAAATTCGTAGGTTCCTATTTGAATCAACGGTATAAAGAGAACTAGCAGGCGACCTACAACTCACTGACCAAAATTCCCCCACCCAACCAGAATGACCCTTCAGTAGATAATTGGGACGGAACTATCTCATTGCTTATCTACTACCATTAATTATTATCAAACGTATAAATCATATATTTTTTTCAGGAGCCGTCCTCAAGATCTAGGTCACTGCAACCTTGTGTGCTCAGTGTGATATCTCTTGTTCACTTTCATTATACTCAATGGGTAAAAACACTGATTTCTAGAAAGAATACTGCGTTTATCACGATAGGAAAAGGCAGAGAGAATTTTTTTACACTTTTTATTCCTTCTAGATTTCCAGGAATGAATTCCCAAAGGAATGATCCCGTTAGAACACGACAGAAAATCGGCAGCGGTACTTGACGTCACAAATGTATGAAGATCTATGCAAGTACAATAACGCACCGATCCTCTATTGGTAGTTGGTAAAAAATTGATAATTGCCGTTTCAACCGACCATCTCAACTTGTTTAGATATTAAGACATTCTGTCAAGATTGAAATGATTTCAAAAATATCATGGATGAATTGTGCAAGACAGTTGTGTGAATTTGAGGTTCATCATATAGAAAGTATACCAAAAACATTCAGTCAGATTGTATAAACGAATAATTGAGGAAGCTACAACATGCTACAACCTATTCTAGGATATTTAAGCATGATCTTTTTCAGTGTGTTTGGACACTTTCAACATTTCCTCATACTCATGTCATGTATAAACTGGTATACCGGTCTATATCTTTCTATTCCATAAAATTGGCATTGGGGGTACAACTTATTTATTGAGGACATTTACTACATCACTGAATATCGAATTATCTCTACAGTTTACTGTTGGATCGATTCGAAATATTGACTTGATATTTCCTTAGAATATGTTAGTTGGCAACACTTCAATACGCCACCGCTGAATCAGTGGCGTTGTTACATTCTTAATCTATATTAAAAATCGGTGTACCTACTTGAGAAGAATGAAAGCACATATCATTTATAACGTACTAAGAAAGTAAGAAAACAAATTTACCAGCGGTGAATCATTGAGGTTTAATTGATCCTTAAGAAAAATGAATGTTAGAATTTTTAAGTTTGTTGATTTCTGAAGATTCCAAATGATTGAGTTTTATTACTGCATTTTCTACTTGTGAAATTTCGAAATTATCATTCCACATATTCCACATCTGATGAAAAAATTTACCATAAAAGTGGAGCTAGAGCATGTAACAAGATAACCATGTATTCTGTATGTGATTCGGTTTATTTCATTTAGTTTGAGAAAATATATTTGTCTGTGATGGGAATTCAAAAGGCATATTGAAGTTTGGTTTCTTTTCTCATCTGATATTCGTTCCTGGGACGAAGAATAAGTTTTGAATTAATATAGTTAACCATATCTGAGTTGGTAACAAACTACTCATGAATTGCATCATTTCAGATTCAGAATCATAATAGACTAGGTCGTAAAAGATAATCGCCATAGATAGATTTTCAATTTGTCATCAGGGACTCGTAAGAGTTGCCGTATACAAAAATTTTGCTCAGATGTCAAAATATTGTGAGAATAGTTATTTATATACCAAGGACGAAAGTCTACAAATTGATAGAGCCGAGAGGTCTTAGCCGAGGCTAGCAATCAGGCGAGAGAATAGACAGTTTTTCGCCGAGCTCCAAATTAAATTTTTCGACCTCAAATACTTATATCCACAACACGGTCCTATTCAGACGTGAAATCTATCGGATTTCGTGAATAATCAATTTAACGACAGCAAATGACACTGGTCGTCAACTCACTGTCCGCGTGGACTAGGATTTCCAGCTCGATTTTAATTCCATCAGTAAATACCTTGTCGAAAATTCAGATCTATTTCATGCATATCGTTGTTTTTGTTGATTTTTTTCGTTCGATAGAGTATAATTGAAATTCATTTCATTGTCATTTTATTGAACTTAAGTATGTCAACCACCTCCTAACTACCAGAAGACCAGGCATGTTGAGCAGTTCCCGAATCTACGATTCCTGGAGAAAATTGTGTCTATTGATAAACCAGTGTCTTTTTGTATCATGGGTATGGAGAATGATATTCTAGCATGGGGCTAGGAAGTTATGAAAAATCTGCAATTTAATTCAATATCTTTCCAACGTCCATTTGAACATGGTGAACATTGCGTATATACCTAACTGTTCTGGTGACAGCGGCTTATAAAATCTACCTGTATAAAAAATTAACTGGATTGGATCCCTTCATCCACACGACAGGTCCAGATTTATGACAAGCAAATACGTGAGTATTATCACACGATGGAACTTCTCAGATGACATCCAATCGCTCAATCTTGAACTCAAAACGAATAATTAATTCTGAACTCACGAACTCCAATTCCAATCTTGGAATTGCATTAATTTCATTATAAATGTTCACAATGTTGCATAAAAACTCTATGAATTAATTTAATAGATCAATCTAAGAATCTTAAAAGGCTTAGAGGAGAATATACCTACTTCACTTCACATAAAGTCCTCGAAAATTAAAACTGGATAATCAATGAACAATAAGTGAAAAACTTATTCTATCAATCAGCTAGCATACAGTTTTAGCTCAGGATAGATAAACCGGGCTCAGATCTATATATCCTGATGGCAATTAGATGTTAGCCGTAAGGAAGTTCATTTAGGTACTCCATAAGGTCATACACTCTCATCATGTCTCTCATTATACTACTCACCTATGTCATCTTTAGCAAAAAATACTCCTATTATCACTGTTGCCAGTTCTGGAGCTGAGCTTCCAGCTGCCATGAAAGTAGCACCAGCTACGTCAGGAGCCATTTTCAATTCTGGAAAAATTCCATTATAATTCATTATCCAACAAAATGAAGGAAATCGTATCATCATACATATGACTATCGCAGTATTCGTGGGCTTGACAAATATTTGGGATAAATCCAGATGTTATTGAACAATTTTCGAATATAAATGACAATTGGAATTCAAAGGGTTGAAAACAATATTGAAAAAAGAAAGCACGTTGCAAACTCTTGTAAAAGTATGCAAAACGTGATGCTTCCTGTTTCAGACTGAAAAGTAAATTTTTCCAATTATTGCGTGGCTTTTCTTGAGCATCCTCAAAGAATGAATCTGGATCTGGGAATGTTGTTCAGAACCTTCGTCACTTTTCCGAGCTCCTGGAAAATGTACTGAATTGCTTTTTATTAAGCTCTCATGGATCAAAGTTGCAGTTATTTCGAAGATAACATCAGTAATGGCCTTATATAGTTAATTATTGTCGATATAGATGATTGATGAAATCGACGTCATCTGCAAAACCGAATTGTTTATATACCTACTCTAGACTCGAAGGACTGAATGCCACCAACCTCTTCCTTTCGTCCTAGGCAGTGCCGGATTAACCACAGGGCAAGAGGGGGCAACTGCTCAAGGGCGAATTCAGAATGGATAGCGAAAATTTTGCCAATATGTGTCATAAGCGAAAGACATGAGAATTTTTCAGTTATCAAAGATTTTATTCCTTCGACGATTTTATCAATTATGAGGAAAAAAACCAAAATTGATGTATTCTGTATAGGTATATTTATGTTTCATATGTGTGTATATTTCCGTGTCGATCACTATTTTGTTTCCTACATCCCGTTTGTTATTATATTCAAATGGAGAAAAGGCTTGTGCAATACCTGCAAGTAGGCAAGTAATTTTTATTGAATGTCAAAGAAAAAGCAAACCGCAGTATTTTACTAACTCGTTGAGTATTTACAAATAGGTCCAGAATTTAATCGACGACATCAATATGGTACAAACAGTAGTAGGAACGTAAATTTAACAAATAAATGAGTTATTATATCAACCACTCCGTTCTGTGAATTTTTAATCCATGATATGTCGAGTTTTTACCAATGCAAAATGGTCTATTGGATGAATAAAGTTTCTATATATTTATATAACTAACTTCTGGGATCGATTCAAAATACAGGTTTCGATCGATCAGTCATCAGGCCCAAGCGACATTTTCTTTCTGAACATCGAACATGATTGGCTGATTAGTCTTGATGAACGATGCATTATTGAGACATTTAAACCTATTTGTACCAGTGTCGAGTTTTCAGAAATGATATATCTCTTGCGTGTGACTTTTACTCATATCCTTATTACCAGATTTTTTGGTAATTTTTCTCCTGGATTCTTTTGAATGAAAATATGAGTTTCATTTCAATATACCTCTGCATTCAAAAATGTTGGAGCGCCTCAAAAAACAATTGATTGTCAGTGACACCTCGCTTTGATGAATGTTCGAAGGGAAATATGGATATATCGAAAGAATATAATTGTTACTCAGCTTCAGACGTTCCGAAAATGTTCCCGTTTTCCACATAAAAAATGAAAAATATTCTCTTTCCCGAATTTGATGAAAATGGTAAATTCGAAATGAATGAATGAAAACATCCTGTAACTCGTTTGTTCGCATTCATTTGTTTCCATCAACATCGGCCACTGAGAAGTATCAATACTGAAATGAGAAATCAATTCGAAAACAATAATATTTCCCATTATGTGTATAGGGGGCGACTAAATAAACTGGGCGTCAATTGAAACGTTAATAGTGAAATTTGGCATCAAGTTTGACTTCTAGTAATTTCTAAAATATTGACCGAATTTTTAATTGCCGCCCAAATTCTGAATGCCTTTTTCATCGTCTTTCGAACCGTTCCTTACAGCTTCTTCTAAATTGATCAGGACCCGTGATACAGGGTGAAACAAAGTTTCGTGCATTTTAAAAAATATTTCTCCGCCCCCCCATTCTGTCGGAAGACCACGATGCTCATATTTTATTCGGTCATTTCATAAATAGCAACCATACCTTGGGAGGTTTTCGAGTTTTTGCCAAAAACTACTGTGGTTTCAGAAAAATAAATTTTTGCATTTTTTTAAATGGACTTATTTTAGAGGAGTTCCATAAATGGATGCTCTTATGCATTTCAGGAAAGCGTTGGAGCAGATATGTATACCAGGCTACTCAAAAACAATCAATAATTCATTACTTCGCAGTCTATGATAAACGTTTTCTACCTTAGTGAGCAGTAAATCAACACATCTCATCAACAAAAACAAACAACGATACCTTGTTTCGATAACAACGTATTGTTGAAACAATGTAGGTATGCATAGAGGTTATATCAATTGCCAATTTTTATGAAAACGTCAGAGTTATTCGGGTCCTAAAAAATTTAAAGATGCCTCGTTCAAATCGGGTCGAAATGGAAAATATCATTAGGTGAGATCACTATAGTGATATAAACTATAATTCAGTACAGATCATTATTATTTCAGGTTACGACGATTAGGATATACCCAAAATTATTTAAGTACCATTCTCAATAAGTCAGTCGTGACAATAAAAAGACCTGATTCATCGTTTTGAGGATACAGGTAGTAATGTACTCCTAAAATTAGTCCATTTAGAAAAAATGCGAAAAATTTTTTTTTTGGAAACCACAGTAGTTTTTGGCAAAAACTCGAAAACGTCCCGAGGTATGGTTGCTATTTATGAAATGCCTGAATGAAATATGAGCATTGTGGTCTTCCGACAAAATGGGGGGGCGGAGAATTTTTTTTCAAAATGCACGAAACATTGTTTCACCCTGTATCACGGGTCCTGATGAATTTAGAAGAAGCTGTAAGTCACGGTTCGAAAGACGATGAAAAAGGCATTCAGAATCTGGGCGGCAATTCAAAATTTGTTCAATATTTTAGAAATTACGAGGAGTCAAACTTGATGCCAAATTTCACTATTAACGTTTCAATTGACGCCCAGTTTATATTGTGCCACAAGCGACAAGTGGTATCAATCTGGCCCTGGCTCAGGACTTTTTTGGCTGGTCGAACTATTTATTCTAACACTCGCACACTCACCCTCACATATCCTGTCCAGCGAAGCGACGAAATACTCATCACAAACGATGGCCAGCCCCAGGAACATGTACGCGGCCACGATGATGTGTATTATCAGGCCACCGTGACGCCTGGTCTTTGGGCTCATTAAAGGGTGTGGAAACTGAAAACCAAAGGGGGTGAGTCGGTTAGTAGCCAGATCACCACGCGTAATCACCTACTTGTATTTTAGTAGTCATTTCTATTTTAGAAAGCGTCAATTTGTATTTCAGAATAGTCACTTGTATTTCAGAGAGAGTCAATTGTATTTTAGAATAGTCAATTCAATTTCAGAGAGCATCAATTGTATTTCAGAATAGTGAATTGAATTTCAGAAAGCGTCAATTGTATTTCAGAATAGTCCATTCAATTTCAGAGAGCATCAATTGTATTTCAGAATAGTCAATTCAATTTCAGAGAGCGTCAATTGTATTTAAGAATAGTCAATTGACTTTGAGGGAGCGTCAATTGTATTTCAGAAGAGTCACTTGAATTTCATGAAGCGTCAATTCATATTTCAGAATAGTCAATTCAATTTCATCGAGAATTTCATACAGCGTCAATTGTATTTTAGAATGGTCAATTCAATTTCAGAAAGCGTCAATATCATTTCGGTCACTTGTATTTCGGAAAGCGTCAATTGTATTCAAGACTAGTCAATTCAATTTCATACAGCGTCAATTGTATGTAAGAATAATAATAAATAAACTGAAAAACAAAAAAACAGAAGATATAAATGGAGTGAATACTTTCGTTATCAAAATTTGTAAAACTCACATAATGGATCCTCTGACGGATATAATCAATTCATGTTTTATCGAAGGACATTTTCCACATAAGCTGAAAATTGGCAAAGTCCTCCCTATTCACAAAAAGGGTAATTATTCTGAAGCTGTTAACTTCAGACAAGTGTCTATTTTACCATCTCTCTCAAAAATTTTCGAATATGCTATATATTCACAACTAATGGATTTTATGGAATTAAATAATATCCTGAGTCCACATCAATTTGGCTTCAGAAGAGGTAAATCAACCTCAGATGCAATGAATTCGCTCATCAGCTATATAAAAGATGCGTTCGAAAATAGAGAAAAATATATCGGCGTTTTCACAGATCTTACTTCAGCGTTTGATTGTGTTAATCATCAAAACCTCCTCGATAAATTACATTTCTATGGTGTCAGAGGTGTTTGCTGTAAAATGATAAAATCATATTCAGAAAAAAGAATCCAGGTTGTAGAATTTGGTCAGTCTCGTAGTGATGAAAAAGAATTGATAAGAGGTGTCCCTCAGGGCTCCATACTAGGACCGCTCCTCTTTATCATTTACATCAATGATCTACCACACTTCGTAAACTCATCTAATATAAAAACTACAATGTATGCAGATGATGCCACTTTGAGTATAGCATTAGACGATTTGGTAACTCCTCAGCAAATTTTGAATATAGTAGTAGAGAAAGCAAGAAATTGGTTCACTGCAAATGAGCTGATACTGAATGAACAAAAAACTAAAACATTAACTTTTGAAACGAGAAACATGGATCAAATAGAACAAGCAGCTGTTAAATTCTTGGGTGTGCAAATTGATTCAAATTTAACCTGGAAAGACCACATAAATAACCTTTGTACCAGACTTAGCAGGTCAACATATGCAATCAGACTGATCAAAAAATCTGTGAACCTTAATGCAGCTCTTATGACTTATCATTCAATATTCCATTCAGTTCTTAGGTATGGAATAATATCCTGGGGTTGTGCATCAAAAATTCATTTAGAAAGAGTATTTGTGCTACAAAAATTTGCCATAAGAAGTATAGCATCAGCTAAACTTGATGAAACGTGCAGACCACTATTCAAAAATCTCAAAGTGATGACATTATATTCAGTTATTGTATATGAAAATCTATTGAATATTCGATTGAATTTGATGAAATATTCCACTCACACAGATGTGCACGAATATAACACAAGAAACAAAAATGACCTTGTACTGAAAGCAAATAGACTGAGAAAAACAGATAATATAGGAATCAAACTATATAATACACTGCCAACTGATTTCCGAGAACTGCCAATAAAAAAATTCAAGGAGGAAGGAGGCCATGAAGCATATTTTGATTGAAAACCCACTGTATGACATTCATGAATTTTCCGAAATAGTTGTGAGAAGTAGGGATGCTTTTGGAGTGGCGTGAATGACTTTTTCTATACATATTTTCTGGATTTTAATGATTGTCAAACTTATGTCAAACTTAAACATTGAATTTATTGAATTTATTATTTTCTTAAATAAGGTATTCTATTTGAGTAACGCCAAAGAATTTTAGCATGTATATGTAGTATTTGTATTTTATATTTTGAATTGATGTACTTTATTCTCGTAATTTTATGAACTTTGCTCTTGTAGGTAACTGCTCTCAAATTTCGTGACGTGTCTATAAACTCTGTGTTTCTAAGATCAATAAAATTATTATTATTATTATTATTCCAGTATGGTCAATTCAAATTCATAAAATGTCAATATTATTTAAGTGAAGTCACTTGTATTTCAAAATGCGTCAATTGTATTCCAGAATAGTCAATTGCATTTCAGAGAGTGTCAATTTTATTTCAGAATGGTCAAATGTATTTGAGAAAGCGTCATTTGTATTTCAGAAATTTCCATTTGAAATACAAATTGACGTTATCTCAAACTCAATTTACTATTCTGAAATACAATCATCCCAAACATAATATTCCCAACGTTAAAGTCATCCAAAATGGGTTTGATAATAATCAACTGATATTGTATAGGGATAATAGTATTTTTTAGATATCGGTTGGATATTGGAATACCAATATCAGTAGACCATTAACCACGAATACTCCGTGTGATATATATATGATTGGACTGATATTAGCAAATATTATTGACTGGATGAAAAATACGGATATTTGAATCAATATCAACGAAACAGGAAATTAATATATTGCAACAATAGATAGATAGATAGTTTATTCATCTCTTCAGGTCATTCCTGGATAATGAGATGCAATATTCACTATATATAACCATCATGAATCTGATATTGATGCAATATGTTTTTCCAAGATTGAGTCGATATTGAAAATACGATATCATGAAAATTGACATATTCTAATCGTTAATATTTCACCAATATCGAATAGATATTAGCAAATAAATATCGGCTGGTCACAACATTGGCGCTGTATCGATTATTGAATCTAGAAATGAAAAATTGGTTTGATAATGGGTCAATCTAGTAATTCAATATTCAATACTTCAATATTGGCTAACTTCAAACCGAGTTCTAGCGTTACCACCGATTACATATAGTGGTCAGACTGAGGATATTATGAAGCTACCAGGGCAGGGTGCTTCCCTAAGTATTTTGAGGTACCTTGATGGATTCGACGTTTCGTATTACGGTTTGGCGCAATAACGAAGCAATTCCGGACATACCATTTGAGGAACTTTTTTTCCTTCGCAATATTGATGAATCACCCTGTATATATTCCTTTTTCTCAGTTAGATTCATGCAAAGCTTCAAAAACCTTGCCGCAAGAGCGGTTTTGTCTACTAAGGTAATTAGGGAAGACAAAATGGCCATTCAAAGAGCCTTATCATTATGGTTGAAGAAATGCCGAGACTATATACAGAAAAATTGACAGTACCATGATTATTTCCTGCACTCACTGTATAGTTATTGCTCTAGTTCACTCTCAAGTTGGCCAAAGCATGGAAGAAATGACGATGCAGTTACGAATAACGAAGAAGTCTGATGATAGCTCGCTTGCCGAGGTCTCTGACCTCTAGTTTTTCCTCATGCTAAGGAAAGAAAGCTCTCATTTCCTTGAAAGTAGTTCAAAATAATTCAATTCAATGTTATACTCACTGGAAAAAAACATAACAAAAGGTTACTGTGCATGAGTAAACTCCTATTTTTATCAAACTTCTCTGAACATCTTCAACAAGGTATGTTGGAACGAGTGTTTACAGTAACTTGGACAAGCTTAACGTCAGATGCAATAACATCGAAAGTTAGTAAATCCGATTAGCTTCATTGTGACGAGCCCTCTTAGGGACAGACTTTGCAAAATGTATCGGACCTTAATTGAGAATGAAAATTCAAAAGTAAGAATAACTAGTCATTTGATCTATTGAGTTACATGGTGATGCCATAATTTCAGACACTTGCAATTTATTTTTGCTACCCACGAAACATCTTCATGAGCTGACATACACTATTACTTATTTCTGATAACCATCTCAATGAAATATTTCTATCAGCGTTTTTGTGACCACAAAATGGTCAAATTTCAAACTTACTTGTCTTATTGCTGGAGGTGTGCAGTCTTCCTCATCAGTTTCATTGGACAGGTTTTCGGCTCCTTTAGGAACACCACCAATTGCTACCATGAGTTGTTTGTCGAGGGTGTTTCCAACAGTTTCATGTCCAGTAATATTATGAGCCTTCGTGCTGACATTCTTCTCGCTTTGGGCCCCTTTAGACACGTGTGCAACGTGTTTATCGATGATGTTCACTATATCATGGTGTGCTGTGGAATTGTTCGCTGTCAAACTATTGTTTTTCTCGTTCGGAGGGAGTCGACCTGCTATGGAACTGAGATGTTTGTCCAATGTGTTGAGGACATGGTGGTGTCCCTCTGCAGTGAAATTCTGTGGTTCCGAGAAGTTTTTACCCTTCACTGCTGAATTCAGGTGAGCGTCTAGGTGTTTGAGAATTTGCTCGTGCCCTGGCGTTTGAGTCACTTTATTGTCTTCTGATTGTTGTAGACTCTTTTCTAGCTCGCTTTTGGTGTTTGTTTCTGAACTTGAAACTTCGTGAATAATTGTGTAGATCAGGAAGAAGACTGATAACTGGAAGTATTTGTGACGTCTAGTTCTCATCATTACATCTGCAAATAAAAAAAACAGCATTCATCAAAGTGAGAAAAAGTATTTCTGGATGTTCAGATATTTATCATTTTCATCGTTGATATCCTCAAATTCAACGAGGATACATGATAACTTATATATCTCGGGAATATTTTCAATCGAATCGAATACAAATTGGAATATGTAGTTAAAAAAGGTGTCCTGAATAATGATATCCTCAGAGGCATTATACGTAAACGGACTGCTCATCCATCGAATAATAAGGAGGAACATTTTGTTGACCTATATTCACTAGAAATTTTGCCATGTTTTCCATCAGACTCGAAATAACTTCATTTGAGACGATTATTTGGGTTTCCACTTCTCGTTTCTGGAGTTATATTAGAGTATTAATCTGATGGTCTTCATAGGAGTCAGACCAGTTGATATATTTCCGAATGTCACTGCGTTCAGAAATTCAATTTTCAGGAACCAGAGAGATACATTTTTTGCCAAGTGGAAAATATGAGATATATGGAAAGATATCCAAAATATATAATAAAAACACTGTACAGGGGCTTTACTTATACAGGGTATCCCTCAAAGGTACCTATTCACAAAAACTTACCACATATTCCTCAGACAAATACAATCTGATACAAGCAAAAATTTTCAAACAGACCAGGAGATTTCACTCAAATTTGGTATGTTGGCATAGCTTCATTGGGCAATAAAACTCATATCATAATTATGATGAATATCAATCCATGGGCCTGGAACTTGATGTTTTTCCGCAAATAAACATCTGAAACTCCAACGTCAATGACAAGAAACGGGTTTCAATATGGAATTTGGATTACGTAACTAGTTTACTACAAAAAATGTACTCCTGATAAAATTCGATTACTCCCATGGTTTCGACAAAATTTGAAATTTAGTAATTCAAAGCATCAGTCAACACCAAAACGATTGACCGATATTTCATAAAAAATGTTCAAAATCTCCATCATTTTCACGTAGAGAATACAGGGTGATTCTGTTACATGATTACGTCACTGTATATTATACGTATAGAAAGTTATATCCTGAGGATAAGTTGAATAGTGACCAAGATACGGAAGTTGCTCAGAGTGAAAATTTTCAATTTCGCCCTGTATCTGAAAAACATGAAGGACTGTGAAAATTCTGTTTGTGGCATTATTCGTTTCACAAAATAGTAAGGGAGTAATGTGAAAACCCGCATCACTCTATCTCCAAAGTTAACTGATGTGATATCGCGCAGAAGCTTCGAAAACTGGACACACTGTCGCTTCCTGAGAATAGAGTACAAGTTCAATATTTCAGCTCAGTGTTATAGGTGTTGATTCGGCTAGTTCCATGGACGTGTACTAGTTCCCTCTTCATTCGAAATTGGGAAGAAGTATGGATACACGCGAGAGGAATAAAACCGTCGACAGCGATAATGGGACAATGGGGAAGACCACTGAGAGAAGAAATCCGAGCAAACCTCTTTCAATCGACGAATCATGAGTTACGTTTGATGTACAATCAATATTATGAGTTGAAGTTGAAGGGACTCGAATCTATATCGTTTTGAAATCAGCATATTTCACTCGATATTTCAAACAGCCAAATATGATGGTGGAGCCGTGCTGTATTAGTACCAACCTGTTGCTATCTCTCTCTCTCTGATACCTCGTCATTCTGCAGTGTTGCAGTGTGATTGGTCAGTTCAAGGACAATAGGCGTGTTGGGACTAAGACGTCGCACCAGTCACACCAATGAATTGACAAAATTTCAAATGGTGCAGGAATTGTGTGCTTTGAAATGAACATATTCTAATTTATTGTTTTCATCGTCTTAGCATGAATGACAAAATTCAAAATTAATTCGCTGGTAGGTTTTCAGTATAGAGTACACGATAATGTCGTTTTAAAAAATCAGTGGTCTCCCCCATTTTGTTGCTTTATCGAGGTACTGGTGGGCAGAATGGAATCCTCCAACGGTTGGTGAAAAGGGTCGATTGGAATTATTAAAGATATCCCCAGGAACGTTTTGAGAAGAGCTATAGCCTTATATCCTTATAAGTAAGGAATTTTCCACCATTCACTGTGACTGCGAAACGATGTTGAATTCGAGTTCCATCCAGTGTATAAAAAAATATAGAGGAGATCTCGTTCCACCGATATTCCTGGTAAATTGTTTTGAACTTATTTTTTTCAATATACCTAATGTAATGAACGGGTATCTTAGAAAAAATTATGTGGATTTCTGGATTCTTTGAACTAAGTATACAGTGAACAATAATTGTCTAACTTTTATCATGCGTCTACTAGGCAATATTATTACGTGAACAGACGAATGTTTATTTTGAATTGAGTGCAGCATCATTAGCATAAATAAATGTATAGAGTAAGTAGGTACGTTACCTTTGTAAAACGAATTCACTGGTCACTTGAGAACGAAGCAGGGGGTCTATTCTCGAGCGATATTCGTATACGAGTTCGATCTTCTATTTCACTTCAATATACGTCACATACATAAGTGCATCTTTCTTTATTCGTATACGAATTGAACTCGAACGGTTCGAGAATAGAGCCCTAGAGGTTGATATCACAGGACCGAATTGAGAGACAAAAATGACGTTGATTAGAATTTGCAGAGAATTTATAAGTTCAGTAAAGAGGGACTGACTTTAATCTAATTGGCTCGAAAGATCAATAGATTATTATTTAGCCCAAATACGTAAAGGAAAGAGCATGTAATTGTCAATTTGGTTAATATTCCTGAAGTGAATTATTATCATAACATTGGAGAGTTTTACATCGAAATCATCTCACTTGTGCAAATTGAAGTCGAGAAAAATTAATGAGAATCATAAACCACATTGAATTATTACTTGAAAAAGGGTTAATGGAAAACTATAGTAAGTGACAGTTTTGTTCACATTAAGAGTATGAGTTATAGCTTGAATTATTTATCGTCATAACACTTTAGAACTACAACGAAATCTTTTCAGTTTCGCAAATTAATCCTAACATCTGTAATTTATCGCTCAAAAATCTACGAAAAATCTTGCCTAATATAAAAACAACATGGAGCTTGTCTTATATTTAATTGATTCTCCCAAAATGTATTGCTAAATTCTGTATAAAAGCAGAAACAATCCGAATGAGAGGAGACAGTCTGAAGTTATTCTTGAAGCAGTCTTGATCAGTCTCCAATACGATGTCTCGATCTCCGTTGTGTTAGTTGAAAGTTTTGTTAGTGAGCCTCGGGAGTGATTGAATTTCAATCATTGAATCTATTGAGCAGAATGTAAAATGTCGAGTCTTAAACTTGACTCAATACAAAACGCATCCAGCCGACTTTGTATCTGTCTATCAAACATGCTACGTTCGAACAGTATACCAGTGAACTTCGTTAATAATACCTGTGTAAGTAACCACTCAGGTAGATTTATTGTAAACTGCAACTTTTGTGACTAAGACGTAAAAGTGAAGTGAATCTCTCGCCAATTAAAAAACAAGTGAACAGTGTAACAAAAATGTGCAATCTAAAATGTAAGCAAACTTTGATTTTGTTGCCTGTAACCTCTGCCTGACTCTGTCTCAGTAACTATCTATAATAATATGTTGTCTTATTGTCTACAATCTCAGTCTGCCTCCTGTCTCAATAATCAACGAACCCATTGATCGAGGAAAAATTACTTTGTAACGACCCCCTGTAGTAGGCCAACGAACGAAGAAAGTTGGGGGCATTACACTATCACGGTTTTAATGTTCACTGTTTCTTATCAATTCGATGAAATATTCAGTCACCGAATAGGTGAACTTTCGGATATTCAACAACAATATCCCTCCATTTCCCCATATTTTCCATACCCGCTTATTCACAGCATCACGTTCTGTTAAAGTTCAGTTGAACCGTCAATTTGAAATGGTATCCATTAAAGTATTATGTAAAGCCCCGGAGGGATTTCCTTCACATTGGACCAGTTATTGATCAAAAACGGTTGGCGCCAACTGAGCCTCAGCCTCAGACAGTGACGTAGGTCAAGATTGAGCTAGAAAGGAAGAGACAATAAAAATCGAGAACAGGCATACAGTGCCGGTTTTAGTACTACCAGCGCCCTGGGCAAGAATTCTACGGCGCCCCATAAAAACTAATATATTTCACTTTTCTAGCCTTTGTATTGGCAAACTCTTTCATTAGATCAACAAAGTCAATATTTTCAGCAATTTTATTTTCAATTGACAAAGTTGTCAAGTTTGTCAATCTAGATTGAGATATTGTCGAGCGCAGATAGGTTTTTATCACATTAGGCTCAGGAAAACTGAAAACTAGCAACCATATTACAGGTATATAAAGTCAATAATATTCGCAATGCTAATCATACATTTTGATAAAGTTCTTTTTAGTTGCGATCTTTTATAAAATTCGAAACATATGCAGGGGTATCCAAATTCTGATTAGGTGAGTTTATCACACCACATATACCTTGTCAAAGGTCGAGTTGTTTCGAAATTTGTTTTATATTGTACAAAAGTATCAAGATTTGTTGTAGTATTCATTTAACTTCAAATATTTCATTAACTGAAATGAATGATGAAATTAAGATGTGGTGTAATTACTGATGCGCTTTTGTTTCAGAAATTTGACTCGGCCTCTCGAGAACAGCGAGAGCATTGCGGTTCTGTCGATTTTCTAATAGATGGCGACATGCACAATTGTGAAATCTGTCAGTTTTGAAATTGTCGCAGATTTTTCGAATTCAGAGTTGAATAATCCCATTTGCTATTTTATTTCCACTCGTCACAGCAGCAATAGCGCCATCACCATCTAGCAGGAAAATGTAGAATCAACGTCTCGCCCGTTGTGACGTAGAGAAATCATAGTATAGGCGGTCGAGTGATTTTTCTGAAATTTTCAATACGTAATAATGGCCGAATACGCGCACCATATCTTACTTTCATCATTCTGAAATGAATGAAAAATTAAACCTGATTTTTTTCTGTAGAAGCTATTGGCACGTGGCAAGCA